TGCTGTCTTGTTCTGAACCAGTGTCCTTGCTGTGGTTTCATTTGTGCATGGTTATATTTTGAAACTTGTTTTTTGGTTGTCCTTAACTTGTTTCAACAAGTCGCGCATTCTGGTTTAGTCTGCAAGATCAAATGAAAATGATAACAAAACTACACACTAAAAAGCTGTACACTGAACAGAAGTTGTCAGTCTGTGCTCTTGTTGTCTGTTTTTGAATTATATTGAAAAAGGATATCATCAGAAAGTTTAAGGACAGATTTAAAAAAATGCTTGGCTTCCTTTTTGAAGAATAGGTACTCCTGAGTGCTGTGCCCTTGGAAAGATCTCTCCACAAAAGCGGGTCCCTAGATGGGAGCTGAAGTCTTAAAAATGTAGTCCTTCAGGCTTTCTTTCCATCTGTTGCTCTGTTGGAACAATAGTCCAAGGCTAACCTAATCCAGGGGATGGAGCAGAGGAAACTTCGTCTGCAATTTAATGCTCTTCTTCCAAATGATTTCTGCTAGGACATTTACTCCATCTATTATACATTATCTTATTTTGGGATATGCCAGGGCCAGTTAAAACACTGTAAGTTACTGTGATGCCTCTGGAAAAAGAGATGACTGTGTGAGGTAAAATATCCCTGCAGCCAGCACTTGTCACGGTTGCTTAATGCTCAGCAGCCAGGCTGTGCTGAGCCGACTGGCTGAGACTTTCTCTTCTGCATCCCTTGCCCAGAGCGGATGAGAATGACCCCTTTTGTCCTGTCTGGTGTTATCAGGCAGCTTTGGAAAATGAGCACTGTTGAATGAAAAGAAAGCGGCAGATGACATTTTGTTTTCTGCAGGAACTAGTGTATAGGATCTTTGTTTTTCAGAAACGGTTTGCAAGAAGATGTGCTAATATTGCTGCTATTTTAGCAGTCGTTCTTTTGTTTGAGCCTGAACGTAGATGTGTGGGAGCTGCAGGTGCCTGTTCCTATTGCTGAGCTCTTTCCTTGTAAAATTTCATGGATTCCTAAGACGTGAGCACGTATATTCTGCGTAAGTCTTTTTTTATGTTACTGTAACATTCCTTTCCTGGAGCATAATCTTATTCCTGTAAAAATAAATGGTCAGATTTTCAGAATAAAGAGTTTAGAAAATTTTTGTCTGCGTACTGAGATTACTCTGAATGTACAGAAGAAGTATACAGGGTAGTTAGTGTAAGTATTTATTACAACTGTTTTAACCCCGTAGTGAGTATGGGTTGGGGACTCCTGCCTGTACAGCAGACACGCAGTGCTCCAAAGCTCTTTGATTTACGCTGTGTGTCACCAAGTGGTAGGTGTGAAGGTCCAGCATTTCAAAGCTCAGCGATCGCACACGGAGCGTCTTAGTCATCCCTGTTGCTGTTTTTGCAGCTGACCAGAAAACTTCTGCATTATTGATGTGCCAGTGAGACAGGGAGGCTGCCAAACGAGTGACCTACATTGTGTCTGTAAACAATAACAGGAGAACCACGCTCACAAAATGGGGTAGGTTTGGACGTGGGTGTCTCCCGGGTGCAGGGTTTTGTTGGCACTTTCATGAGTGACCTGAGAACCATTTGGGAGCCAGCAACCTCAGCCTTCAAGTGCCCCAGTAACCTGACTAGCAACCAGCAGATTCATACTCCCTAATTTTAGGTCGTCTAGTTTTGGTCCGTGTCAGTTCAGAGGCTAGTCTTTATTTACATTTATTTATGAGACAGCTTGGCTCCTTTTGGTCTCAGAGCAGAAGACTGTGGTGTTTCTGGAACCACTCTTGCAGTGCTTTGCAGGAAGGCAGGGAGTTCAGCTGGGTAAGGAGGGATGGCTCCAGAAATCTCTTCAGCTGAACGAAGGACACATAAGCTTTAGGGCTGGTTTAGTTTTCATTATTTTTTTTTTTAATTTACTGGAGCAATGTTTCCAAGGTTCACTTATTTCAGCAATGGAGAAATAGCAGTGGCAAGGGTCATTTTATGCCAGCTGGATGCAGGTAGTTTCAAAATGTCAGATGCCAAGGTTGTGAGTATGATGAATGAGGAAGGGGCTAATGAAGAGCAGGGCTTGAGTACAGTAATACTTCAGAAGAGTAAATGTTCTTGCATTTCTGTCCTCCCAAAGACCTCTGCATCTCTGCACCGGCCTCCTGCACCCTAGCACATCATGATCATCAAATTAACTATCCTTGCATGCCTACCAGCAGGTAGTTTCACTGTCTGCTCAGGTCCCTGGTCCCCTGCTTGTGGGGATGTGGCAGGAATAGAAAGATTGGGGTTGAGCGGGCAGGCAGAGCTACCTCTGTCAGCACACGGTCTGGCCAGCTGAAGCTGATTGTGAAACCAGAACCTCAGACAGACACCGAAACTTCTCACACACCCTTTCTCATCTGTTAACCTCTGCTCGGCAGCGCACAGCCTGGGCTGGCACAGCTAAATACAGAACCGTGGGAATCCTGTTCCCCGGCTGGAGACTGACCTCAGCAGAGTCCCAGCACGGATATGTACGGAATGGCTTGGCTCTCCAGCCCTGGCTTCCTTAGAAGGGCACTGAGGGGAAGTGACTTGAAGGCAGAAAAACAACTTCTTCGTGTTCCTACTGGTAGTAGAGCCCTGTGGGTTTGGCCCTGTGCCCTGTAAGTGCCAATGGAGTCCCCTGGCAAAATAGAAAGCAAGACAGTGTAAATGGGCTGGTTTGATGGCTAGACTAAACAGAGGGTTGTTACTAAGGCCTTGCAGTTCACTTCATTTTGGGTCATGTGTTATTCTTTATGATGCTGTTTTATGGTTCTCTTCCCTTTCCTTGATGTTTCCCACCATTCTGATACACTTTCCTGCAAATAGTTGAGCTCACGATTAGTAAACTTCTTGGTAACTTCACTGGGATAGAGAGCTGTTTGGAAATGCACTGGCTCATGTGTAAGTACCTGTGGCATAAGAGGCTGTCATGCATCAGGAGAGCTGTTGTAGCTCTCTGGATGGACAAGGAATCTTATCAAAGACATTTTGGCACTTTGCAGGTTAGCAAATCATCATTTTGGCACTCTGCAAATCCTCATCAATATTGTCATTGATTTCAAAGACTACATTACAAGGCATGGATTCTGAAAATAAAGGTTCTTCCTTCCCTAGTAGATTGGATTCTTTTAATCTACTAATTCTATTTTTGATCAATTTGCCAACTCTATACGACTCGATCTCACTGTTCTTCTGCTTCTATTTTTCTGTATAATCACTCTCATTTTTTACCTTTTCTTTTGATGCCAAGGCTCATTTGAGTGATAGATTTCTTACCACAGTTAATAAAGCAATAATTTTAAGTTTGTGTAGAAATCCCCAGTGAAATCTATCTGGCTTGTAGGTGTTATTACTATAGATTTTGTAAGTTTTTTGGAAGAAAGCTTTTTTACCACTGCTTTAGTTAGAAACGGGGCCTTGGAGCCAACCTTTCAAGAGTAGCTCAGGCTCCAAAGTCACTCAAGGCATATCCATAATGAATATAAATGCAAAAAAAAACGCTTTTTGTGTTGTAAATAAGTCAGCAAGCTGTCACTGACAACTACCGATATCTTTAGTATATTGAATAGGCTGTGTTAAGGCTGTACTTAAGTTCTACATGAGGCTCGCTCCTAGGCCTCTGAAGTGCGGCCTTCCCTGTTGCCAAGAGACGCAGTGGTGGTAGCAAGGTAATAAATGTCATCTGTAGGTTCTCTTTTCTTGATAATAAGCTTGTGGAAGTAACTGGACTCCACTCTTTGCATGCAGCTGTATTCAGAAGAGGACTTTGCAAGGTTCTTTAACGGAGCTGGAATGTACATGTAATCTTTTGACCCTAGTTCGTAGTTTGATGACTATGGCATGTTAAGTGCTGATAATTGGGTTTGCTCTAGGCTGAAACCTGACCTGTTCTCAGCAAAGGAGAAGATGAGATGTTTTATTGTAAGAGGCACTCAAAGGGGATACCTTAGAAATGTTAGGGTCATGTCTGCTAGGAGTAGAGATCCCTGAAACTATGGGAAATTCTTGGGAATTCATGCTGTCCTGAGGCATTATATTTCAGCGTAGTTTGAATTGGACTTTTCATCTAAAGGCTTTGTCCTGTTCTCAAAATTTTCTTTTTTATGCAGTCTTGTTGCCTTATAACTCATGCTGCCCTACTGTGAAAGCTGCCTTGTAGCTTCAGCTTGTGGAATATAACTCTTCGATAAGAGCATAAGACACATGCTTTTCACTCTTGTCCTATGGAGATGTCTCTTCCTATTGAGTAGAGAAGAAGATTAAAAGTTAACTTTGTCTCACTGACAAACTTACATAAGACTAAATTTAGAGGAAGTTAATGCTACCCTTGCTTTGAGAAGATAGTGATGTTTGTAAATTCTGCAAATAGCAGTCTGTCCAAAAAAAGTGTCCTCCAAACACTGCTTGCTTCAGCTTAAAGGTAAGGTGCACTCTCTGTCATCTCTTCTCTGAGGAGGATGAGGGTGTTCTGATAAAGTAACTAACACTGCTATGAAAGGAGCATGCAGCAATCAAAAACAGCTGTGATCACTGGCTAAGTAATGGAGCCAAAGTGACTTTTAAAAACCTGTCCAAAGGGAACAGTGCAGTGTCCAACCTGCACTTTATTTCTCAAGCCCTCCCCATTCTGTCTGACTTTAACAGCATTGCTGGAGCTGCTGGTCTTGCTTGTTTTATGCTTTCTGTGTGGTAAAATTGCTTCAGACAAATGTGATTGGGTGGCAGTTTTCACAGTATATCATTGTTAGCCCTGATCTTTGTGTTTCAGTTGTTTTCCTTGATAGTACTCACGAACTTACGAACTCAGTTAGAGTATGTCAGGCCAATAATCCATCCAGCTCAATATCCCGTTTCTGCCAGTGACTAACAGATGAGTATGTACCTTTCTCTAATACTTTCCCAGCCTCCATCTATTTTCAGCATATGGAACTTTCTTAGACATAAATCTTTCTTGTTAAATGAAGAATTGCAGCTGATTTTCTTGTCTCTTATGTTTTTAGAACTAAAAAAACAAAGAAGGCATCTGCTCCTCCAGCCAAGGAAGAGAAGCACAAATTAACCATTTTTGAAGAAGAAGTAGATCCAGATGAAGGACTGTTTGGACCAGAAAAAGATTTCTCATCAATTGGTTCCAGGAAGAAGATGAAAGAGAGTAATTATCTATATTTGTATATACACAGTTTGTTTTATCTAAAGCATATGTATAATTGAGCATTTAAAATATAGTGATACAGAGTGTACAGGTTAGATGGGAATGTTAAGGCACATCTTCAGCTGGGGCAGAATCATTTAGACAATAAATATGACCTGTAGTTGCCCTAGCTGTTGACTATTGACGTTTTGGGTTTGGGTATGTGAGTCGTTGGGAGCTGGCTATCCCACACACACTCATGGCAATGGCAAGAGTAATGTGACCTATTTTGGGGTGCAAGAAGAAAAGCAGATATTCCAAGTCCTGAGAGCACAGCATATTACTGATGTGTTTCCTGGTACTTGGTGAATTGGAAATCCTTGTATAAAAGGAATTGTCTACCTGATCTTTTTTTCAGCCTCATATACAGATTCCCTAGGTATTGTTTTGTGTCGTACGATTTAACTACAGCTTTTACTGTTTTCCCTTTCTAGATCTGAAATTATTTGAAGATCCAGACCTTGGTGGAGTGGTAAGATTGGGTGACTCACTACTGCTGCCAGCTGCCTGTGAGAATAAGGAACATGCGCTGAACATAAGTCCTGAGGAGGACACCGAGGAACTGCTGAGGTACTCATCTCAAATCTGTCCTGCAATATGAAAGCCACCTGAGGGGGGAGTTAATTAGACCTCAGAAGAGGTCAAATCTTGGAAACCGAAGACATTATAAAGGAAATCAGGAAGACCCTTTGAAAAAAGTAGGGTGCAAGGTATTATTATGTGACTCCAAAGGAAGGGTCTTGAAGGCCCAAGGCATGCCATCTAGTTTCCATTCTCTAACATGACATTTCTGCTTTTCATAGAGGGTAAAAACTGACCTCCAGTATGAAAAATGAGAAACCAAGGCAGGGATACCCAGAAACAAGGAGGAATTCAGCTTTAGTGATCTGAAATCAGTGACTCCTCTCTTGCCCCAAGAGGAATGATTTTCTGCTGGTGGCTTACAGACCTCCATGCCCACTTCTAGGAAGAATCCTATGCACAACACAACAGCTGCAAAGGACTCTTCTTAAAATCTCTGTCACACTGTATTTAATTTTTAATCTAGTGGACCAGGGGGCTGTAGCTCATAGTTACAGGAAGGAATAATGTACTTGCTCTTACACCCCTTGTTAGTGTAGTGGTGAAACATATTACATCATGTTTTATTCCTGACATTGCTCTCACAAAGCTAGTTTGCCTGCACATTGGTGTAGGCAATCCTTCAAGACATCAAGCAGGGCACTAATGCTCAGGAAGACCAGCACCACCAGGGAATCTTTGCTACAATAAAGAGTCAAATTTACACCTTCTGGTTCTCATACTGGCATCTGAATGACAAGGCTAACCTATTTCAAGCACCAGTGCTTGCCAGCTAAGTCCTGTTAGGATGTATGATTTCAACAGCAGGTACTAAACCCAAGGGAGAGAATCAGAGGGTGGCATCCTCTCCTGAAGCAGATAGTTTTGCAGCTATTACTTTTTCCCCATGTAAAAGTGCTACCTATCTCAGCAGTAATAACTGGCTTAATTTAAACGGAGGTTAAATTGGGCTGGTGCCATCTCACATTACATCCTGACAGCCCACCTGATGTTTATAAAAGCTGATGGGGCAGAACATGACCTGATTTAGTGTTGCAGTACACTGGGAGCAAACATGTATGTGCTTGCAGTATTTTCATGTCTGCTTTCTCCTTTGCTAGCCATCTCAGAATGCACTGTTTGATTCAGATCATTCATATGGCTGGAAGTGCCTGTTTTAATGCAGTCCTTGTATTATTATTCACTAGTGGAGAGTGTTTCTCCAACTGTCTTGTTAATGTCCTTTGAATTACACGTTTTCTCTTCCTCTGTGGTGGAGAAAGGTCTCTGAAGTCTGCTCTGAGACCAATAGACTATAGTTTTAGATCAGTTTGGAGTCATCATCGTTAGCAGCACACCCGGATGGTAATGGACATAGTGGGAAAAGATTCCATTTCTTTTAAATTCAACTAGTTTTAATTTATTCTTGAATTGTCCCAATGCTTTCAGTAGTTGGCAAGTCAAGATCCAGTTGGAAATGAATGCGCGTACTGAAGCAGAAAATTGTGCCAGCGATCTCATGGGAAAGTTACTACAGAAATCCAGAGGCAATTCCTGGCTGTGCCAGAGGCACAGGCAAATATGTCAGGATCTGTTGGTCTCTTTAGGTGCCTAACACCTTCTGAAATCCCTCTGATAAGCCTAGCTCACAGAGTTATCTGCACATCATAGAGAGCTGGTGGACTGAATAGCAACATGATTGGATGCAAAGGAAAGGCTGTTGAAGGGGAGGAATAGGAGAGAGAGTGATGTTTTAACCTAGTAGAACACTTCACCTTACCTATATTCATAACAGTCACCTCAAGTAACTGCAGCTGAACTTTCCCAAGTGGTTATACACAATGCAGTTTGTCTTCTGTTCAGATGGATGCCTTAGCAGAACTATCAGGTCTCATAAATGTAAAGGCAATATTTGAATCATCTATTACCTTCCCTCCACACTGGTGTTAAATGTTCTCGCAGGGCAGTGCCACAGTCTTCTGCAGGCAGTGACCCTCTGTGGTGAGATGATATGCTCAAAGTGAGCAGAACCGTGCGCTCTCACTGCTATGGAAGCTTCAGCAGATCTTTAGGCCTAAGAGTAAATTTTGCCTATGCCCTGCAGATGTCACAATCCCTCTCCTATCTGAAAGGGGACTAAAGAAATCTCCCCAACTCTCAGATCAAAGTGGGAGCTGTGAAAACCCACTCCTTTAGTGGACTACAGCCAGGTAAGCTGCTCAAGGAAAATTAGCAAAGGTCTTGGTTTCCTGAACATAAACAGTTATATGTACCACACAGAAAATTTGTCTGCAGACATTTTGTCCAGACTGAAGACCAGCCCGAGGTATTATGCACTGGCAAGTCTGTGATAGGTCCAGAAATCTTAAACATGTTCACTTTGCATAGATGAATTAGCTGCATAATGCAGATGTGGTAGCTCTTGACTTACGTAGAGTACATCTGTATGTACCACATGGTCTAATCATGTGGATGTGGTAGATCTGAGAAGTGTTTGCCTGACTGGTCAACTGTTCAGCTGAACACAAGCTGGCAGCGTGCCCAGGTGGCCAAGAAGGCCAATGCCATCCTGGTTTGTAACAGGAATAGTGTAGCCAGCAGGACCAGGGAGGTGATCATCCCCCTGCACTCTGCTCTGGTGAGGCCGCACCTCAAGTGCTGTGTTCAGCTTTGGGCCCCTCAGTACAAGAAGGACATCGAGGCCCTGGAGCATGTCCAGAGCAGGGCTACGAAGCTGGTGAAGGGCCTGGAGCACAAGTCCTGTGAGGAGCGGCTGAAGGCACTGGGGGTGTTTAGTCTGGAGAAGAGGAGGCTCAGGGCAGACCTCATTGCTCTCTACAGCTACCTGAAAGGAAGGTGTGGGGAGCTGGGGGTTGGCTTCTTCTCACTGCTAACTAGTGATAGGACTAGAGGAAATGGCCTCAAATTGCACCAGGGGAGGTTCAGGTTGGAAATGAGACATTTCTTCTCACAAAGAGCAGTCAGGCACTGGGACGGGTTGCCCAGGGAGGTGGTGGAGCCACCATCCCTGGGGGTGTTCAAGGAAAGGTTGGACGTGGTACTTAGGGACATGGTTTAGTGGGTGACATTGGTGGTAGGGGGATGGTTGGACCTGATGATCTTGGAGGTGTTTTCCAACTTTAATGATTCTATGATACTGGAAAATGCACTTTCCAGTGAACCACAGGTAGAGATAGGAGAGCACTGCATGAAGCAGAAAAGGGCAGAACCTTCTCCTTGCAAAGCAGAGATGGGAAAACGATGATGTTCAGAGCAGAACATGGGAGCAATCTAGTCCTTTTTAATCAGAACACAGGAGCAATCACGTCCTTTGTGACCTGTGTGGTAGCTGAGCAGTTGCAGCAGTAGCAGTCCTCCAGCACTGTCAGCACAGCAGTGACTTGTAACTCTCGAGGAGACAAAATGAGTCTGCAAAACGTGCGTGGGTTCTGCATGTCATAACATAACGAAGAAAAAAGTATGACAAATGTGCTCATTGCAAATGGAAGACTATGGTCTCTCTGGATACCTGCTCAAATAAAATGGGAATTAGTATTTTAAGTAGAAACACTCATTTTAACAAGTGTTGAACTTTAAGAAAGACCAAATACATCATACGTGTAATGAAAGGTTTCTTTTTATGGCAAAAATGCCCACTTCCATTCAAATATCTTCCCTCTTCCTGTCCATTGACCAGCCTCTAGCAGTTCCTTCTTGACCTACCAACAAATATCAAGTGATGGTGATGGAGAAATTAGGTGAGCTACCTCACTCAGTGTAGAAGCAGCCACTCTTTCCTACCCCTGGGTCTGGCATACTACTTTAGTGAGGTACATGCACTTACATGTCCCTCTGGAACGTGTGGAAGAAAGATACATTTCTGTGGTAGGAAACAGCAAGGTCAAGTCTCAATGTATTGCCTTCAGGAAAAAAAAAGAGCATGTCACACTCCTCCTTCAAAAAATGTGCTTTGTGAAAGAGACAAGAGGTAACCAAGTCTTTTTGGCTCATCGCTTCCATACAGGGATACAAAGAAACCCAGGCACCTCCAAGAAGTCAGGTCTGATTGCTTTCAGCTCTTCCACAAGGTGGCCCATGGCAGTGAAATCCAGCAATAACTTACCAACCCTTTCTTAGATTGCCCTTGGAAAAGGATTTAGGACTAGGCTTCTGTTTTCTCCTCTCAATTTCCTTGGCCGTGTCACACCATAATGATTCCTTCTGGATGCATTCAGCCTTTTACCAACATTCTCAAAGCTCTTCCTCAGGTCTGATTTCCATTTAATCTAGTGATAGAAGTCAACTGCTGCCGAAATCAGTATCCTGAAAACTCTCACATCATGGATTCTCATGCCATCTTATTTTCCCATCTCTGTCTACCCAGTGGCCACAGATGTGCAAATTAAGTTTTCATGCAGCAGCACTGCAGTCAACCTCTTCTGCCTCATTAATCTAAATCACGCCTGCCTGGTGTGATGGATCAGGCAGGTTTTTGTGGAAAACCAATGCTAGAATTGATCCTGTGAACGTTGCAGCAGCTCTGTGGCCAGAATTACATAAATTACCACACATCCCAGCCTGAAATAATTATCACAGTTGTCTGAGCAGCCTTTTAGGACAGATTTAATTAGCCTCACCTTTGATAATGAATAGGGAGTCAAGATAGAAGGAAGCAGCTGTCAGCATAAGATTTGTCTTTTTTTCCAGTGCTGAGAAGAGTGTCAGCAGTTCTGCTGCAGTGTGGTGGTACACCTGGCATTTTCTTACTTAGGCTTACACTGACCTGTGCTGCTGGTGTTGAAAGGAGCAGTCCAGCTCTTACTTTTGTGCTACAGCATCCTCATCCTTTCCTTGCCCATTAAAGATGATTTTTGTCTGTATTTATAGGCTGTTCTGTATTTACAGCTACGAGCTGTGCCGTCAGGGATACAAGTGATGACCCTTACAGGAGCACGATGTTGTTAGAGGATGAAGCTGTTTATGAAACCGCATCCTAACAATGGCCATTT